TATCGGGGCGGGGGGGTGTGGGTGAATCTTTTAATATTGTGTTTCCCTAAAGGGCTGAAGAAATAGTTTCAGCAGTGAAGTAAATACATTGGTGAAAATCAGGAGGAACTATACTACAACAGGCGGTTTCCCATTGCTTCTGGACTTGAAACAAAGAAGATAAAACACATAGAACCACAAGAGGTTTATGAAGGAGCGTAGTGTTAAGACATTCAGAACTTTGGTAATGTCATTTATGTATTCCAGAAAGACACAGCATTACTGCATCTAACCCATTCAAGTTTGAAAGCCATAAGACTCAACATAACCTAAAGGGCACTACCTGTGAGAGAGCTTTGTTTCAAGGATAAATTATAGGATATAAACAAATACATTTATACTATTACTATTTCCAAAAGAGTTAGACGTGGTACTTTTGAAAAGAACAAGAAAAAACCCCCAAAATGGCAAAGACGTTAAAATAGTTACTGCACCTGCCTGCCAGGGTAACCGATTGCCCCAGCATTGCCAGCCATTCCTGGAATTCCCTAAGTGGAAAAAGAGGTGGGGGAAGAAAAAAAAAAAAAAGGAAAGAAACAATAAACCAGATTCAATGTCATGTTTTGAGTTTATTTGTTTTATCATTTCTCTTTTAACACCTAGTCATATGACACAGCTTAAGCTTATAGAAAAATTGCTTTTTAAGCAAGCTACACAACAACACCCTAAACTTTACTCATCGTGCATAAGTAACTCCATCAATTGCAGTCACATATACTTTAAAAAGCATTACAAGAAGAGTAGTCTAAGTTTTTGTGAAATATAACAGTGCACCCCTTATTTCCATAATAAAAACCCCATAGATGCTATTTCTAAAAAAGTAATTGAGGAGGACTATAGGAGACAGGTCCTTGTAGCGAGGTAACTGTGCTGGTCTTAGCTGTATTTGAACAAATGCATTAAAAGTTTAATTAAAGAAGAATCCTTGTGTCCTTACAAATTTCTTTGTTGCTTCCAGAATCAGGTCAATATAGCACTGGATTAGTCATAAATGTATAGAACTTCTCTCCATCTTCTTCCTCCAAATCAAATCGAAAAGTAATTTTTGTTGTTGTTTTACTACTTAACATCTGTATATCTGACTGTTTATTTTCAGAAAAATGTCCTTTCTGAAATGCCATGGCCCTATCACTGAGACACAGGAGCTCCACCTACCTCTGTTCAATTAATTTTATTTTAAACAAGCCAAGTCCATAAACTGGACACTCTCCCAGCCTGACCTTTCTGCCCACTGTAATCTGTCAGTGTTACTATGGCAATGGATCCGGACTTCCTCTCTGAGCTGTTCACAGCTGATTTATGGTGAAACAGCAGTCTTAGGAAGCAGAACTTGAGTGCAGATGCAAAATGCAGTTGCAGTATTTTTTCTTTAAGTGAGCTGCCATTGAGATGATTCTGTCACCTGCTTTCAACTGGCAGTGATTCATCTTCTGACAGATGTTCTGTCATGGAACTGGGATCCATAATCTATTTCGGCTCAGCTGTACCTCAAGATACGTGTATACGAAAAAAACTAAAAAAGCAGTAGAATCATTGCATTTACAAGTTCTCTTTTAAAACTCTTCTTTTGTTACCAGCTGTTCAAGGAGTTCCAGAATTCACAAATTCAGAGGAATGTCTGTCCTTGCTGTGCAAGCTTCTAAAAACTACAAACACAGGTAGGTGCTACAGATGACAATAACTGGTCTGACTCATCATCTTCACTGGCCAGGCCTGAAAATACCAGCAGTAAGAACTACGTGCAAAATAAAACTCTTTCATCCAAAGTGCTCTCTTAAAAGTTATGTCAGAGTATTTTCTCAGCGATAATAATGAAGGAAATATCTACAGCAGCAGTATGAGAACACTAAGATATCAGTTGCACTTCGCCAGCTTTCACATTCTTGAATGCGAATTGCCCTTGAAGGATCTTATATGCTTGATTGCATGAATAATGAGCAGAAATACTTTTCAATGCAAGCTTTACTTTCTCCCCTCCATAGTAACTGATTACTTTTCACCTGCAACTTATTCAAAGATTGAGACACTTCTCCTGATGTTAAGAATGACTTTTTTTTTTTCTTCCACTGGCTATCTCTATCTCACTGCTAAGTTACAGTCATCACAGAAAATACCTGTGGGCCTATAATAAGAGTCACCACTCATTCAGCTAAGATTTGTGTATAAAACCCATGGATAATGTTCATGAGTTTTCATCTCCCTTCAAGTGTCTATCATCTGTTATCATCGCCTTTCCCCTTTCCATGTCATCCAAATGAAGGCTCGTGCTTCCATCTACTCTGCCATTAGGAGCCTTGTTAATGCTAATAAGGCACATCAGCAACCGGATGTCTTTGAAATTTACATTCAGATTGCTTCTTGAACTGACATGGAAGTGAGAAAAAGCACTAAACCATTTCCTTTTTAAATCTCCAACATGTTTGGAGATTTAAAATGCATTAAATCAGTAGAGGTTTTGAGAGAGTCCAAACTGTGCCTCTAACAAGGATTTTACACCAACCTCTGCCAAGCCAGTGTGGTAGTTGAAGAGAGAGAAGCTGGTCTTTTCCATTTCATTTAGACCATTTTTTACCACGCTGATCTCTAAAAAATCTGAATTATTGGTCAAGAACAATCCAGTATTTCCTTAAGCAGTCAGAAATTTACACTGACTGCTTACATTAAACACTTACGTTGGGTTATGCATTCTTCTATCCTCAATTGTTCATCTGTAGAGTATAGCATACTGCACTTTCATCACTCACCTGCTCACCACGTGGCCCTTGCAGTCCCAGATAACCCTTCAGACCCTGCAGGTAGAGAAACAGATATTTGAAAAATATAGTTAAATACACAAAATGGACCTTTTGGGCCTACTCCAATCTCCCTTTATCAAGAAAAAAGTTATCCAAACTTGTTTGCCTGCAGCATTAGTGTGGTTTACATTTAGCAGCTCATACGAAAGCTGAGTTAGAGAAAGGGAGGAAGAAGTTTTCATGGAAGTTTAGACAATTTCAAGATATCAGCATGCTCAAGGACAGTTCCAGACCTGTACTCTCAAACAAATGAGTACATGGGATGCTGTCCCACGTAGTGGAAAAATTACTACAGAAATACTTACATTGCCAAAACTGCAGAATTGGATTCGGTACAGTGCATTTCCCCATTCCAAATCCTTATCGCTATGCCCTTTCTGAACAAGGCAGTTCAGAGGAAGGGTATAAGTAAAGGGTCTACTCATACTATTTTAGGACACTTTCAAGACAGACGGACTTTCCAGAACACGATACCTCTTTTTAAAGTTAACATAGAACAAATTTCAGCCCTTACATTACGGAATTTATATCAGTAGGGAGAAGAGCCTGTTCCTCATCACAGAGATCTTCCCTGTGGTGTTAGAATCATGAAGCTGTCAAACTTTACTCCTTGCACATTGACCATTTCATGCATATTTTAGTGCTTAAAGAAAAAATAGAGCTGGAACCTATCATCTGCATCAGTGTTTTTGAAAGGGCAACTTTCTTCTTGGATGTCTTTACACTGTACTAAACATACCCAAACAAGCTGGTCTAAAAGGGAGGCTGTAACAGTTGCATGATTGATGCAGAAGCCAAGTGTCTGGTCTCCACATCCCTTGCAAGAGGTACCATGAATACGCAAGTTCCAAAAGCTGCAGCTTGAAACAAAAAAGACCAAAGCAATCCTTATTCTGGATAGAAATCTATCACAAAATTGGCCTCAAAGACATTGACTGAGTAGCAGGAGTGTTTTGGCTGATGTCAAACATCTGGCTGCCTTGCAGCATGATGATACTTATTAGTCAGTAGAGATTTGAGACCCACTGTAATAAGAAGGAATTCTGCAACTGATTTCAGCAGATCTGCTATCCCAAAGTTTTGGATAAGCTTCTGCGTGACCACAAGAGTATTTCTGCATGAAATTAATTTTATTATCATATACAAAATTAAATGATGGAATCATTTTTGCTTTGTGATAATTTTAGATAATAAAAGAGAATGACATCTGTCAGGCTTCAAAATTTGCAATTTTGCTATTATAGGCTTGCTTGAGGAATTTCGATCCAAAAGAGATGTACTCATTAAGAAACCCAAAGGCCTCATTTTCTCAAAACCCAACAGAGCAGGTGTGTCCTTTCATTTTGCTAATCACACAGAGGGCATTGCCAGTTTGCAAAATTATGATGTATTCTGGCTTCAATCCTCTCCTGTAGCTTAAGTCTAAATTATTTATATATGTCATGCTGTATCTAAGAAAGCAGGTCTGCATTGCTGGGGGGGGCGGGAACCACCACAGATAGTGAGGAGCTGATCTTGGATAAGCCAGTTAATATGAAATATCCCGATTTACTATATTAATGCATGCCTAAACCCAAATTTTTTATTGAATTGCAAAAGCAGAACTAAAGATGCTAGCGCAAGGCACTCATCTTTAGCTGTCAAAATTTGTCTCAGAAAGCCATACAGCTTTTTTTACAGTCCCAGCCCACTCTATTTCATGAGTTTTACCCATTTCAGAATTTTATCCCCTCTCTATGCTTAAATGATCAACTAAAGTAGGTATTGCTAGAAGACACCTCTCAGTAGTTTATGATTTCTGTACAAGGAGAAAAGGAAAGGAAATGCTGCTATACACAGAAACACTCAAAGAGAAGTTTATCACAATTTAGTTTCAAAGTGGGTCACTTTAGCTGATTAACACCTGCATGGACAGTCTCAAAAGAAGGCACACAAGGAACTGCAAGATGAAGAAGGATGACTAATTTCTGGTGTGCATGTTTCTACACAACAGCATCTTACTTCTGCCAGAGGAAAAAACTGCTCTGAACTCAGAGTAGTATTCCCATATTCTTATTCAGAGTTAACATGGTCGTAATTCATTCTAATTCACTTAATGCTGGTAGGGAATGAAGCTAAACCATGCTAAAATGAATATAATTCCAAACAGAAAGTTTTCACATAGGGGTTTCCTTTCCTGTGACTTAGCTAATCCTCTTAAAATTCTTAGGTTTTTTATTAGTTTGGGTTTATATTCTTGAGTGTATCCATATAAATAAGACCCAGTTTGCTCTCAACTAAGATGAAAGTAAACAAGAATACAAGTTCATATGCGCTGGTTTGCAAAATGAAATACTTCCCAATTTCTAATGAAGATTAATGCTCCAATTTAAAAGCTCACTGTGGAAGAGAAAGGTTTGAAGAGTCCAATTACAGCAATACAGACTTCAAGCACATTACAAAAACATAGCAAGTTGCAAGAATACTTTGGGGTCTGCGTGATTGAAAAATCTTTACTGCCAACAAACACAGCTCAGAAAAGACTTAATAGCAAGTTTAAGTGTCTGACTTGTACCATATGCCTAGCACAGTGGGACCCAGACTGAGTGAAGTCTGTATATAGAAAAATGTAGATGTTAAATCATGACAGCAAGAACTGTTCAAGTCTTTCCATCTTACTGGTGCCCTTTGTGTTTTATTAGAATTTCTATGCATTTGTTATTAAAATACATCTGGCACAACACCAGGAACTTTGCTAGAAAGCCAAGAAGTTTCTGTAACCTCTAAAAATCAGTAGTTGAAGCGTTATAACTGATACTACAACCATCAGCTAGAGAGATATTAGTCTCTGAAAAGCGTCAGAATAAATTTTTTCTGGGCACAGGGTAAGTCTAGCACATAAACAGATTTCCATGCACTGACGCATGAGCCTTTTCAATGCTTACTTATCAGCTCCACATTGTGACCACATGGCATCCAGTTCTGAAAAACTTTATTGGCAAATGGTTTGGTTGGTTTTTTTTTTCCTTCATAGCCCCATTCTATCTTGTCTGCTGATCTTTATTAACACAACTAAGATTTCAACCTGGCATCTCGTAGCCCAAATATCCTAAGGAATGGAAATATCACTTACAAAAAACTTACAAAAAGATGGACTTTTTCTCCATCTAATTCAGTAGACAAGTTTCTCTCACAGAGTTAAAGTTTCCTCCTGCTCAAGGAAAATTGCACTCTCTAGATGAAGCCATGGGAGACACTTGGTAGAATAATGTTGACATCACCACAAGTACTGCTTTGAAATTTATCTGCCTTACCCTTTACAGGATACAAAAGTAAAGACAAAAGGAAATACAGAGCCCTTCTTAGGTTGCGATCAAGTTTTCTCCTTCAACGTGTCTTACCATATTATACTTTAGTATGTGATTTTTATCAGGATTTTATAGATCCAGATTCCTGTGATTTACTGTTACATGCATATTAGGGAATAAAGCTAGCTCAAAAATTGTAATCAAACTTTTTAAAAATCTTTTCCAATGTCATTGTAAAGTATCTGCAACCACACAGGCTCTGCAGTCATTCCAGTGTATTGGCATGAACCCAGGCAAGTTAATGCCCAGGAGTACTGTCCTTTGGCTGACAGTCTACCAGTACTCTGGGGCTAGCAGAGCCAAGTACTCGCCTGTCTGTACAGTGAAGTAGGTCCCTTTCAGGGAGAGGAGGAGACTTCTGCTCTGTGAGGTCTCCAGACTGATATAAAGTAAGTTTTGAGTGCTGATTTAAAGATGGCCCCGACAAGACAGCTCCAAATCGTGCAACTGCTCTGGAAAAAGTACTCAAACTAACCCTCATGTCCTGCCATTGCTTCTCTGCTTCAAAAGATGCCGAAGGAAACAGACCTCTAAACACTTCATAAACATGCAATTTTCTGTTCTTACGCTATAACAAATTTGGAGCCCTATCCAGAGCAAAGCTTGACTTTTTATAGCATGTGCTGCAGGCATGAGAAATATGTCATATTTTATACACAACCACAAGGATGCATACTCCAACACATGGCACATAATGAAAAATAAAGTCAAAGTAATCTGTTCCCAGAATCCTGATTATTAACATACATTTGTTTTACTGTCTCACTAAAAAAAAAACCCACCCTGTAGATTCTCAGCTTTATAAAAGAAAAACATCATTTTATAGTTCTAATCCAAAACAGTAGTTTACTAGCGCTGTTGCATTGAAGGCTTCAAAATCTCTTTACTTTTTTCTTTTTTAGGGTGGGGGGTGTGTGTAAAATTAATCTTTCCAAGAAACTCTTTTAACGTGATCTCAGATATTCAGAAAAATAGAAATAAAAGCACTTGGAATATGGCTTCTCAAAGTAATTCTAGTAAAAAAAATGAAAATAACATGCACACTTGCCTCAAACTTCCACAACACATGTTTTTGTACAAGCACCAAATAATGTTGCACAGGACGTTCAGAATCAGGCAAATTCTGATAAGAAAACTTGTTAAACACAGTTTCCTCCACAGCCAGCCTGGAGTGGGGTGATCATGCCCAGTGGTGGGCAGCAGGCATTGCAGTGCAACCTCCAGCTCTCCAAAGCCATCACTCCAGTTAATGGGACATGGATAATGAATTCCATGAAGAAAAACCTCACGTTTCTAGGTCTTTCAGGAAAACACTGACAAAAGTCAGTATGACAAAAAGCAATTGCCATGAAACATACATAGATTTGTATTACACTGTTAAAAATATCTGGAAGAACATTAGAGTTTTTATTCACTATCAAGTATCTCACTGTTTAGAAACTACTCAGTTAACACAAGCCAACTTTCAAAATCAAATAGAATTTGGGACATCATTCATTCATATGTAGGATTTTTTCATCTTCCTTTTTGCCTAGATGAGAAAGAATATTGGAAATATATTATTTATTCAATACTATAGCATTACCCCAGTAGTACTGGGGTACTGTTCGGGGGGGGGGGGGGGGGGGGAGGAAACACTTGATTTTTCTGCAGGTTTTTCTTGTACACGTGATTTCAGGTTTTTCTTGTAGCTAGTTTACTTCACAGCTACTTGTGGTCACACTCCTTTAAAAGTAATTTCCAAGATCACAATAAGCTAACAGCACATTTACCTATTTGCATATATTGAAAAATAATAACTAAAGATCAGTTACTTAAAACACAATAAATTGTGGGCTTGTCATTAAAAAATTAAGCATGAAATACTTTTAATTGTTTACAGGTGTAGTGCTGTTCAAAAGCTGGTATTCTTACAATCTGGGTCAGGCAGAAGTTATCTTAAACATGGTTCCAGTTAGTGTCTGATGCATACAACATGGAAACACAGAACAAAGTTTCCAGCGACCAAGTAAGCATGATTCTGCACAGAGTGTCTAACTCTCAGATTAGGAGTAAATTCTTGTGGCAGAAAGAGAGCATGATTGCCACAAGATTTTAATTTCCTTGCCCCCAAATGTCAATCTCATAATCCAGAACAAGTGACAGCTGCTTCCCATCTAAAAAGCTTTAAAATAAAAACTACTTTGTTTTCTGAACAAAACTATAAACCTGATAACATAAGAAAGCAGAATACTTGGGGAATCTCAAGGTGGCCCAAGATCATCAAAAGCTATCACACAAGATCACACAAAAGCTATCAGTGTCCAGGCTTGTAGGTTAAGTCTCAAAGAGGGGATGCAAATTCTTGTCACAGCTCTACATTTTCTCAGCTCATAGAACTGTGGGCCAAATGTTTGGCAAATTAAATTTCCACACTCCTCCTGGTGCTAATTCAGTGATAGCTTCCTTTTCTGGTCACATTTTTATTAGGTTTTGGCCGATTTCAGAAATGAAGGACTAAACTTTAAAAAAATTTTCTTGATCTTAAAGTTTATGACAATGTTGAATGAAGCCATCTTAAAACATAACATTATATATAAATTTTGTTGCAATGCAATGTTTCTTTAATTTCAATAGCAGGTAAGCATTTGATTCATATTCCTTCTCTACACATCAAAAATTAAGGCCAAAAATACCAGGGCCTACCTTTGTAACAATTCATTCCATCCTTTTGATGGACACTTTATAGCTGCCTTTAGTGTTACATACTACTACAAAATTCTGCTGTGATATCTGTTCTCCATGTTTTTGTATTACACTTGCAACACCAAACTAGCTTCTTCAAAGACAGCATTTAATAGTAATTTTCCCCCAGCTCTCTTGCTGATTTTTGCCACCTCACCAGTTTGTCACCATCTAACTAACCAGAGCAGCCTACTGGACTTGTGTCAGGTGACCTCTCCTTCCACATAAATTACATTCACTCCTTCAGTCTTCTGTGCTCATTTTCTTAAGGTTGTCATGTCTCTGTTTTGACATTCTTCATGTTCTCTTCCCAAAACCACCAGTCTGCCTTATGCTTTCCTGTATACATAGGACTGCCATAATTTGGATATATTTCTTAAACACAGTGTGTGGCAGCTGACATTTCTCATATTAAAAATACCATGTTACATAGCAGACAAAATTGGAACTTATTCCACCTGAGTTCTATTTCAGCAATTCTGGCACACATTTGGAAAAAAGCAAATAATTCAGTGCAGAAATACTGAGCACATGATCCCACGGAGGTTTTTCTATACTACAAAATACACAATATAGAAAAAGAAATTAAAAACTATTACTGAAAATTGAATACAAAAATGGCTGTATCTTGCAGGCAAGTCCCTAGTACCTATTCTGTTTGAGCAGGGGCACACCATGCCTTTAAGGACACCATCCTAAGCAGCTGTGATTTACATTCTTTTGCCATGATCTCACTTGATTTAGTTGCAAAGGAACATTTTGCACTGTTGTGCCTGGAGCCTGACACAGTAGACAGTCGCCTCTTGACCACCAGACATCCACCTGATAGCCATAGATTTGAGCCAGGAAGGGTTACATGAAAATGGCAACAGAATCTTACCTTCTGGCCTTTGATCCCAGGTGGCCCTGGAAAGCCTATGGGGCCTGGATCACCCTGTACAATGAAAACATCCAGAATCACTATATTTCACTGGAACATGATGCAGGGCTATAAACACATAGAACTTCATATCTTCTCTACAATCTTGGACATCTGGTATGAAGTAACTAATGTTGTTTTATCAGGTACAGATTTTTTTTTTAGAGGAAGAAAATTGAAAAGGCAACAGTTCCTCAACTGCAGCCACCTGGTGCAATGTGCATGCTCCTGTGTCACACAACATGGCCAAATCATGGCTGGAACAGACTTTGTTCACAACCTCACAACACTTACTTTTAGTCAACATAAATGGGAGTGAAGAAGGTATACAATTTTTGAGGTAATCCTTCCCTCGGAAGCAAGTGGTTTCACCTCAAGTTAATATATATATTTAACTAGTACTGTTTATTGTTTGTGTTACTGTTAAACCAACAATCCCCAACCAGGAATCAGAATACTATTATGGTATGTGCTGCATAAAACATGGTGTAAATCTAATCTGTGTAAAAGACAAGATGAATGATGCATGTAGACAAAGGTGTTACAGTGGCATATGGCTACTCTCATTCAAGTTCTTTAAACCTTGCAACTACACGATGGCATACATGAATGACAATTAGAGCATCTCAAATACTAGGGAGCTAGAAAAAGATGCATTTTCTTAAGGTTGTTGCAGTGGAGGACAAGGGAAGTTTGTTTCAGTTCTTTTTTCCATGCTCAGGACTGACAGTGGAGAGATGCCCTCTTTCAGGATGTGGGCACAAATTCAAATGCAATGAGTCAAGGATCGGATCCTGGAAGTGAGTTAGCATCAAAGTAAATTCAAGTCCATTACTTAGGGTGAGAAAATTTGACTTGGGTGAAAAATTGAGCGCTGTAAAAATGCCTATCAATCCCATATTTTTTGGATTATGGACGCATTCTACATGTATTTAGGTGTAGGTCGTACATATATATGGGTGGGCTTTAGAATGTTCTGTGGTAGCTTGGGCCCATGACAAAGAAAATAACTTGAGTTTCAGGTGGATATGCATAGCTCACAACACTATGATTAGATTGCCAAAAGCAAAAGCTGGTTAGCTTAAAATAATGTTGCTATTTCTACAAAAGCTGCACTTCAATTTCTTATCAGTGCATCAACAGACAGATTTCTGAATTTTACTCAGCAACCCTTTAACACTGAAAATATATATCTGTGAATTTTAGGGTTTGACAAAACGTATGCATTAGAAAAATAATGTTATTTTATGAACATATGAACAGCAAGTAAACAACAGTTATCTGCTAATGCTTGCTTCATTAAGGAGAGCAGTCCTGGACCCCTACAGTGTTTTCCACTTAGTACAAACGTTCCACAATTGAACTACTAGCAAATGCTCTTAATAAAACTTAGTATAAATACAAGATATTCTGAAAGATATGGGGTAGGCTAACACATTAGAATGCAAGCATGCAATTACATTTTTAGCATTATCACATTGATTTCAAAGTTTCATACATAGTCAGTAGATTTGCATTATAAAAATGAAATATCACAAGCTTTCAAGCCCACAATTTCTATGAAGAATCGTTTTAAATGTTTATACTCAAATATTTTTGGCAGAGAGAGCAAATACTAGTTTGGCTAAAGCAGCTTAGGAGGAATTAGGAGAAAAAGCTTCCGAAGTAAAAGGACAAATCCTAGCATTGGGAATCTCTTAAAAAAAAAAAAGTTGTTAAATACAATAGGACACACAATGATGTGTGCACTTATCACCACATTTTGTCTTATACAACTTTCTGTACTAACACAAGGTACTAAAGAAAACTGAAATCTGTACTTTGTTATATCATTGTGAACAGAACTCAATTTAATTGTTCTTCAAGTATTTCCCTTTTAAATTCTTTAAATTTTATTTTTATAAATGAAATAAAATATACAATTTAAGTTTCAGCTTTGAATATAATTTTTATTTGTCTTTGGTTAATTACATCACTTCTGTCTGCACTGGTCAGTCTCACATGATTAAGTGTCAAAATACACCAGCAGCAAAGTAAATACAAAACATCGTGCTGTTATAACTTCTCTGACTATCAAACAAGACTTCAACAAAAGAACGGTACGCACAAAACATTTTTTCTGTAATTAAGAAAATATTACCTTTTCGCCACGTTTTGCCCGTCCTGGAGAGAATCCTGGGTCTCCTTTAGGGCCCTGTTGCAAGGAAATTAAGCTCATTAATATCTCCAGGGAAGAGACTTTTTAATAACATCTGTGGAAACAAATATTTTCACTGTTATAGCAACACAAGGAGGAATGCTCATATAAAATGTACTTGTTATTATAGATTTGCTTTCTCAATTTTTTCAGTCAAGAACTACAACAAAATATAAGTGTGAGTTCACATCAAAATGAGATTTATGTTTTCCAAATTTCAGTATGGCACAATGATATTTGATAAGAATATTTTATTGCTAAATCAGAGCTGGATTACAGCAAATACACCAGCTGAAATGCCCTCCCCATGTCTCCACCTCTTCAGGGCACCACCTATTCCCTGAATCCTGTGCCATGTTATCAGACTGCATCACTGCATTGATTATAACCTTATTCAGGCTTCATCATTGCATCACTTATAACCTTGTCCAGGGTTCCTCAAGCTCAGTACCTGCCCCACACAGCACAGACATTGCGGCTGGGAAGGACAGAGCTATAAACACACAGCAAAGGCCCCTGTTGAATTATGAGTTACTTCCTATCAGATGATACAGTTCATCGTTCTTGGCCAGGAATTGAGGTCTGCACTCAAGACTAGGCCACAGAGAGGGGAAGGACACTGCCACACCAATCTCCCCTATTTCTAATCCCTGCTGCCAGAGCCCACCACCACACGAAGTGCCAGGCGCTGCAGGTCAACACACCATGGAGGCCTGGGGTCTGCCGCAGTCAGGGAGCCAGGGCTGGTCAGGACCAGCAGAGCCTGGTAGCCGGCCCTGCAGAGCCATCAGCCACAGACAGCTTTGCCACCACTGACCCGCACCCCTCGGTCAAAATGGCACCTCCGGAGACAGCCCTGGGTGAACTGTGGACTGCTTCATGCTGACTGAGCAGTCACCTGGGGAGTTCCCAGAGCCATAGGCCGAAACCATAGTCATGGACCAATAACTGAAAATACAGTAATTGAAGAGGAAATGGGGAACCCCTTGGTCTAATTCATACTAAAAGTTACATGCAAAAGGCACCGTAACATTTCATTGACCTGTTTATATGAACAGCACAGGCTACAACAGTGCTCTTGATTTCAAAGCTGTAGAGTAATGCTGGGTGTTACTCGCAAGCATCAAGATCTACTCCTCTCACTCAAAAATACGTTTTATGGAACACGCTACAATTAAAGTTATCCCACAGCAGCACTAGATTAAAGATGGTATGTGCCCTTCCATTGAAAGGGCACTAAAGCTGGGAAAAACAGCTGGTTAGACATTGCTAGCACAATCCCACTCAGGGGCAACGCTGGCTACTCAGAGGGATATATAAGAGACTTCCTGAGGGTCAGCCATTTCACACCTCTAAGTGTCCTGGCTCTTCCTTGAAATGCCATGGGGCCTGACCCTCCTCCTGTGTTCGATGCTGCAGATCAGGGGTTAGCCTTCCCTCCACAGTTAAATTTGGATGTCTGAGGCCACTTGAGAAACTAACCCTGGTGAATACTAAAGAAATATTTGCCTGGAAACATGGCAAAAAGAATCTCATGTTAAATTCATGTGTCAGGTCACAGAAAACACCGCTCTTAAGTTATCAGAGTATTTTCCAGCTGATTTACCTTTTGGAAGGTAAATAGTTATATTCCTTGAACAACTCCCATCTGTCTTCTGCTTCCATTTCCAATGCAGGCATATTAAAATAAGACTTGTAATAAAATTGTGATAAGCTCTGGTTAGTTAAAACACAGGCCTTCTGATAACTTGCCCACTGCCTTTCCTTTCCCTTACAAGCACAATTAATTCCTTATTGTTTTTAATCTAAAAACCAAACAACCATAGTTATGCATGGCCTTTGGTTGTGGATTAGCAACACGTCACCACAGGTCAAGATGTGAGGCTAAAATAAAGCTCTTCATTATTTAATCTATGTAACATTACAGTGTAGTTAGAACAGTGCCAGAATCCACAAACTGGATTTTCTTAACTAATCCATTTTTCAGAGAGGCAGGAACACAGCCAAACCTCATGAATACTTTTGAATGATTTTAAAAAACACCCATCAACTGCTTATCAGAAATTAAACACTGAGGACATCAGCTGTGGGTTGGAACAGCTAGCACACCCTCAGGGCCAGGTACTATACTGTAAGGGCATTAGCTAGTGTTGTTCCATGCTTCAAAAACAAGTGCAATAAACAATGCTTCAGCACAGGAGGGAAAAAACACATGCATCTCAAAGGCACAATAAAATGCTGCATTAATTTACTGTCAGAAAATTGTTCTAACTTGTCTGTAATGTCAAGATCAAACAGAAGCGTGTTTTGTTTCAGTTTACATAGTCAGCATGGGTCAACCTGATCTTCATGGTCAAAACTTGGCTAATTTTTATTTAAAAACAAAAGTGTTTCAGAAGTGTTTCAATACTAGTATTGAAAGAATAATTTATAGTCTAACAGAAATAAAAGAGATTGCTAAGCACCTAGTAATGTATACTTTTTTTTATACATATATAAAATATATATTGGTACATACCAACACATACAATTCCTTCTATTCTTAAAAATCTATGAGACTGCTACAGAACTGATCAGAATTATGATCCAGTGGAGGGGGAAAAATACATTATAAAACAAATCCTAGGAGTAATTGGTTACAATCATTTTCCTAGTGATATATACAGCCAGCATAAATATTGTAAAAATTAATTATGAATCTCTATAGTTCATACAGAACTAGATAATAACAAAAGCACACATACGAAATAGTCACTTGGTTTTACAGTGTTTTACACAGAGCTTTATTAAATTTCTTTTTATGTCCTCAAGCAGTTTTTAACACCTGTCATGACAGGTCAGATTCCTGCCATTAGGAATCGTACTAAAACAAATCATGGTTGCTGCTGTTTTTTTCCTAACAGATCTATCAAATTGTTCAAACTAAATATGAGTTGAAGGCATTCTACAACTGCACAAATCTGTCAAATCTATTTAAAGGGCCTATGTTACACAAGGTTGAAGGATTTTATTTGAGCTTCCAGTCTAGTATTTTTGCTTCAGTTTCAAATACCACATCCATAAATCTTCATAAAATTATTCTAGCATATTAATCAAATAATAATGTCTGAAATAGTAGAATATTTAAATATTAAAGGTTGGGCACTGATAAACAAGAAGAATTTATAGAGAAAAAGTCAATTTTTTCTTCCTTTTTGTTATTAAAAAAAAAACAACCCAAGGCAAAAGGTTACAGCAACTAAATGTTTATTCTCACTTACATTCCAGTCTATCAAAGAGGCTGAGCTGATTTACAGGAACTCTTTTGGGAAGTACAGACTACTTGCATGGCTAACAGTTTCCAGGACATCATTCTGCACACACAAGGTTTGGGTTTTTTTCCTCTGAATAAACTGCTGTTTTGTTTTGAAGTTCAATTTGATGGATTACATTTAATTAAAATATGTTTATAGTAATAGTCTCCATCTGTAAACCAAAGAATGCCAATTGCTTCTATTATAGGAAACAGTTCTGGGGCTTCTAAAAAGTCATTAAGAAATTCATGTACTTACATGGCAACATGGATAAGTTAACTCACCTTTGGACCTGGCAATCCTGGCAAACCTGGATTACCATGTGGTCCTGGAATACCCTATAAAAAAAACCACAAAAATATTTTAGAAAGAGTGGGATTATTCAGTACTCCACTGAACACATGTCAACCGTTCAGAGAATCATTTTACTGCATCATTATTGCTTTTAAAAGCAAGCCATAGTTGGGATTTTCAAAGGATTCTCAAGAAATAAAACATGCACATCTTCCTAAAAAAAATAAAATTGAATCCTTCCCTTTCTTTTTAAAAAAAAAATCCTCAGTTTCTATTGTCTTTGAGTAATTCTTAACAGGTAGTTGGCACACAGTTACCGCAATGCTGCTCTCCAGATACAAAACTTGGAGGCATAGGATAAAAATTAGAAAAATCACATTCTGAGGTACCCAGCTATACACTACACTGCAAAGAGAAGGAAGTGGATCAGTTCTCACTGATGACTCAAAGCAACGTACTCCACCTTCTCTAAACAAATCACAGATGAAAACCCTTCAACAACTCAATTCGCCCACAGCCAGTGTGGAAAATGGGCTTCTTACTAAAGGATTTGGACTTAAACCATTCCAGGAACAGAACAGGCTATCAGGACTATCTACGTCTTCCAGGGTAAGTTTCTGTTCCTGCTATACACTCAGCAATCCTCACTCCTTGACAAACTGCACATTAGGGAAAATATTTGTTGCAATAGCTGTCAGCAGCTATTCATCTTCCAAACACTGAAGGACTAAACTGGTGAAAACCTATCCCTGGTAAGTTGGCAACAAAGCTTTTGTTGAATTCACCAAGACCAAAATTCCACCCAAACCATTAATCCAAATACCAAAAAAAGAATCCTTTTCAGCTTTCTCATATATTCAGTGGTCATACAATAGATAAACGCAGTGTTTGTCTTTCCCTCATATGAGACTGAATTTACCGGTGATACCTTGCAGTAACACTGAAAGCTGTATCTGTTAAATGCTCCCTCTCACTAATGACAACATTGACATAACTCCACAGAAACACTAATCACGTGCTGTTTGAGAGAGTACTTTGTATACTGGTAACTTTGGAGGCACCCTCAGTGATTTAGGAGAAGGAAAACAAATAGAAAGTGTCAACATAGCTGCAGTGCTGAAGTGGCTCTTAGCTTTTGCTGCTTGCAGTATGATCATCTTGGGGCACAGTACTGCAACACAGAGGTACAAAAGTATCCTTGTGAAATAAACTGGGGGAATTTCATCTCATCACTGACTGATTCTGAAATTGCTGAAATTTAATTTCTGAGAAACTCAGAACAAGCCAAGACACTTAGAAAGCCTTAACCGTCAGATGGACTTCTCTGCCATAGAATTAGAGATCAGCATCAGTTTTTAATGTAAATCTCTAACCATTAATCGGGCATTGATACCACGCCCAAAGTGTCCAACCCATGTGAATCTCTGTCAGGATCAGGTTTGGACACACAGCCAAGAGACCCAGAAGAAGGCCTGCGCAACACAACTCTGCACTCTGCTGCTTCCCTTCGACACCTCAAGTCACATTTCAGGACTGTAAATGGAAAACAGAAGTTGTAGTGCAGATGGGTATGTGGTGAACTTTGCATCAACAGGACTTTATTTGCTTTTTGGCTCAAAAAACTCCTCTATCGTACAATGTATCTTCACTAGCTGTACTTGCTCAAATTTATCAGTATTGTGCAAACTAAAGAGCACTGACATTTAAAAAAATTATTTCTTAGGTCAAATAGTTTCATAGGATTTCTTGGTCCATATAAATATGTATTTTAAACTCAGAACTACTGGTAAATATTCACCTTGGACATTTCCGTGCTTTTTCAGGCACCCTATTGTAAGCTGTCTCCTCACACTGGAAAACATGCGCTACTCAATAATTCATCTGGAAAACTCACAGTAAAGCACTGTGCTCTTAAGTACTCTACACCTGTAAAAAAAAACCTGCAGGGGGAAAAAATCCCACCAAACAAAAAAAGCCCAACAAAAAAAACCCCACCCAAACCAAAAACTGAGCAAGACGCTGATATTTCAGCAATAGGCATGGCTTTCAACATAAGCAGCCTCCTCTAAACTAAAGACAGCTTCCCACTTGTGAGGATCTACTTGGGTACGTGGAACCCTGCCTGCAATGCAGAAGCATCCTCAACAAAGGCACTTTGCAACATAAAAAGAAGAGTTGTAGAAACTGTCAGCTCGTATGTAGAAAGGTAATTTGAAAAAAGAACCCGAGAAGTCAGGAAGATATGGATTCAAAGGAATGCTTTTAAATGTGTCCTGTCCACTCCCTTATCTCCAACTGCTCTAAAGCACCAGTTTTCAGCCCTCTTGACCAGCGTACTTTCCTACCCAGTCAGAGCAAGATTTGAAAACCAGCAAAGCACAGGATGTTCAACACACTATTGAGCAGCAGCTTGTTTAAACGTTCCTCAAAGGCTGAGTCAAAGCTCCTTCCACACATCTGCTGAGCCTTCGTATAAACTACTCCCTTATCTCCCACTTGTGATTTGCCAAGGTGAGCACAGTCCAGCCGTAACCACTTATATCCCCAAACACCATGGCCCAAAATCTTCTATGCAAAAAATACTAACCTGTTTCCTCCAGTCACCCTTCTCCTAAAACTCCTCCAATCAGCTACAACCACAGGGACTCCTCGAGCTTTTTTTTGTGTATGTACACAATTGTGCAAGCACAGATTTACCATAGAGGATTTACCCTCCTTTGCCCAGCCAACTAGTCCCTGCAGTGGCACAGGCTTCTGCCATGCTCTTGGCAGCTGGGGCACAGGTTTCTGCTCACTGCAGCAAAGCCTGTGCTCTGTCCCCTGGCACAGGGCAAGGCTGCTGTCCCTGCTCAAGTTGGGGTACACCTACGTACCACTCCTTTTATTAAGATGCTGCAACACAAGAGACTAAACCAGATTTTTGGGAGTGGTCGTCCCGCCCCCCC